CCCAGCTAGGATAAAAAGCATGGCAGTAGCTTGGATCTTTTTTTTTTTTTTTCAGGATCAAAAATACTTGGGCTACAAAATAAATTGTAAAGAATAAGACATTACAAATGACATATATGATCATGATAATAATGTCTACCAGTTGTGAGTGCCTCTGCTTGCTCAGCTCAATTGAAGCCCTTTTCCATAGGTTACCCCGTTCTTACACAGCATTGTAAGGTGGAGATGATCCCCACTGTACCTCTGAAGAAACTGAGGCTTGAGAAACACAAAGTAATTCTAGACCTGTGGTAGCTTGGAAACATTCCTCTTTGCTATTTTTCTCTCTCACAGAATCCCACATACAGCCTTGATAGTCCAAGCAGTAATGAATTGAAGGAAAGTAGAAAACCTCCCAGAATGAGATTCTAATTATCTTTGACAATTGTAAGAGTGCATGACACTGTACCTCAACAAATGCTTGGAAGACTGGAGTTAAGGTAGTAAATGAAAATGTCAAAGATTGATGAGAACAGACAGGGTAGCAACGGGAAGGGCTCACATGCCTACATCATCCCCTCCCACCTCACCCCAACCCCCATGTCAGAAAGGAGATATTATGTGGTTAAAAATGTGAATTTTTAAACACTAAAGGGAGTTATTCCTTTGGGGAAGGAGGTTCAAGTGTTAAGGTTGTGAAGGAGACCCTACAGCTCTGAAGTAGTTGCTGGAGAAAAGAAGGAGGATGTAAGAGACCATCTCGAGGGAGTTGTGAAGAAGCAAAGATCTGCTCTGAAATCAACTTTTGATTACTCATCATTAGGTGCCCAGAGAGAGGGAGAGAAAAAAAAAAACCCAAAACCCAGTATCAAAACCTCATCTTCATTTCCTACAGCAGACCTGCTTGGAGGACTGCTGAAAAATGGTTACATTCATAATTTGCATTTCGCTTTCCATCTCTGTCTTTCTTCTCCTTTTCCTAATACAAAGATCACAGACAGATGGAGCCCTGATTATTCCAAGATTTTATCGCAGAATGATCAGGATTTGGTTGCAGTTCGGGGAGCTTCTTTTCCGTTTGTGTGTGTGCGTGTGTGTGTGTGTGTGTGTGTGTGTGTGTGTGTGTGTATGGCTGAAGGCTGTCTGACCTATCAGGTGACCACAGAAGAAGCTAGCTAATTCATCCATTAAAAGATTTGTCAACTAAGCAGCTCCCCACACAAGAGCTGCCCTAGGCTTCAGGGCAAAGAAGCCAAAACAAACATCAGTGGGGCCCATGGGTTTGGGTCACTGGGATAAAAGGAAAGAAATTTCTAAGGTGCCTGGCCTGTGTTATCTCTTCCCAGGCTACTGCTCTTGGTGTTGGCTGCTATGAGGCCCAGAGACCCGAAGCAGTTCCTGGTTGAGAGAATCAGATCATTCACTCATCCCTTACTTCTTTCAGTTCTTTGAACTATGTGTTCATCCATTCATTCATCAACCTCAGCTGACTTCCTTTGTAACTCTCAGAGATGGGTCTGGAGGATGTTTAGAGCAACACTGAAGAGTCACAGGAGAACTGGATTACCATCAGCATTGCGATGACTTTGAATATTTTAACCAAAGACATGCTTTGGTTAAAATACCTGATAAGTCCTTGGCAGGTGCGGATGAGTAACCTAGAAAGCCATAGCATCCGAGGCCTGAGTTTTCACCTACTTGAGCTCTATCACACTGAAGTGTAACCACACCTATTTAAGCTGTCTGCCTTCCACTCAGCGGTCGGCCTCTGGAGCTCTTGTATCCCAGCGCCCAGCACAGTTCTTGGCAAATAGTAGGAGCTTAACAAATATTTGTTGAGTAAATTGAACGAGATTGGGCAGATTCCCATGATGTCAGCCCATGAGGTCTTTTTCAAGAGGTAGGTGTACTCAGCGGCTCCTCTGGAGCATTCTAGAAGGACGGGTGCATACCTTGGGGGCAGGGACCGCCTCTCCATCCCTGTATCTGGAGCACTGTGTTTGCTTAAGGAATGAGTAAATGTCTGTCTTGCTCAAGGAGTGGGCATGTAATAATCTATGGGGATAGTCCTACCCTATCCTCAGCTTAGAAGGTCCTCGGCAATCAACACAGAGATGAGCCAGACAAGGCCTGACTGTTGCTAAAACACCTCCAGAGGGATCCGAATGGGGGTATTTTCTACAGGCCATGCTTTGACTTTGTAAGCTCCTAGCAACAGCTCAAAAACTCAAGGAGGTGGCCAGTGGGGCAAAGGGCAAGGCCCTGTTAGCCAGTTTGGGGACACAAATAACAGGAGCCAGAAGGAATGGCTTTAGCAATAGCACTTTGTTATGACTGCAAGAAAACCACCCAGGAAACGCACGCCCTACTGTTGATAACTACAAAAACAGGAAATGAACAAAAGCAATGACAAGATGAATGAATGAGTAGGTCAACAGGGGGAAAAAAAACAACAACAAAAATAAGGCTCATAAATAAATGTACCATGACTCTACCTTTCTTAAGACCATTCATAAAAATAAATTCATTGTGGATTGGCATTAAATAGGAAAGCTAAAGACAGATTAAAAAATTAGAAGAAAATATAAGAGAATCACTTTTACCTGATCTCTTGGAAGCGAAACCACTTCTAACCACAAAGGAAAAAACAGAAAGCCAATTACAAAAGAGCAACTTACATGCATTACATTAGAATACACACAGAAAGCTTTGCGTCCTTTAAGGCTTCATTTCCATATTATATACAATAAATATATGACTCTTGAAATCAGAAAAAAAATGAAAGCATGCATTTAATAATTAAACCAAAATGAAAAAATATGCATTTGTTCCATAACATCTCACACCAGGCCAAATACCACCCCTACCCCACCCCACCCCTGCTTGCCACTTAGGCTGACTTTTTTTGTGCTTGTTAAATTTCTTTCTTTTCTTTCTTTCTTTCTTTTTCTTTCTTTCTTTCTTTCTTTCTTTCTTTCTTTCTTTCTTTCTTTCTTTCTTTCTTTCTTTCTTTCTTCTTTCTTTCTTTCTTTCTTTTTCTTTCTTTCTTTCTTTCTTTCTCTTTCTTCTTTCTTTCTTTCTT